TTCTTGTTTTAAGTATTTCACTATTTAATGTATTTCGTTCTATTTCATATTCTCTACCAGGATCTGTAAAATAGATGATCTTGAGATGGGTTATGAGCTACAATATGTTTGTATGTCTTCGTGACATGGAGATTTTTGTGTCTTGTTACCATTTACATGTATTTTTTAATAATCATAGGGGTCAGGTACCAATGTTGATGATGACTTTCAGACTTCAAGATGCAAACACAAAATCTGACATAATCATGGTATTAGTACAAGCTGGGGCAACAAGTTTACAATAGTCGCCATAAGAGAACACAAGATAAACAAAAAGTTGAGATCTTTGCTATTCAATGTTTCACTCCCTACTCTCTAATTGTATACCCAACATTTAGAAGGAACTTGAGCAAGTTCCTCTGGGGAAAATATTCTGTAAGAGAAAGGATCTACAAAATTTGGTTTTTCCGGGTAGCGATAGATATTAATTCAAAAAAGCATATACGACCCGCCATCTCAGCAGCTGTGACCCCAAAAAATGTACTAAATAGGTTCCATTTTTCACAATTAATAAAACACAACGATCTACTTGAACGACTGCATCGCACTGCGGCTCCTTGTAAGCAAAGATGCACCGAGTCCGGAGAAAGTTCTAGCGATCACACCAGGAGACACGGTTTCAGGTTTTGTGTCTATTTTTGTTTCTTCAGAGTGACATTCGGTTAGGCTTGAAATCCCAACATCCTCAGATATCCCACCAAACTCCTGATTTATATACATACATATATGCAGAGGTTACACAACGAAGCCAACAAGTTACAAGTTATATAAAGTTTGGTAAATTGGGAAATCATATTATTACCTTCAGGCCTGACGAAAAAACTTTACTCTTTGTTGAATTCGAAGGAGAGAGTACAGCCTGTTTGCTTCGGGAAGATTCACTGGCCTTGTTAGAAGGTGATGGTGGCTCGGGTAAAGCATTCGGGGGCAAAGACACTACCTGTGAAGCACAAACAAGTGAAATTGATGACTGGCTAACTATATAAATGGATAATGAAATGTACTTTTACCCGTAATGGAGATACTTGTGGCAATTCAAGAGCAGGCCTAGCAGAACTTGATGCGCCTCCCTGGAAAGTCCATTCTAAAATTAGGAAAAAGTTGTAACAGTAGAAAAAAGGGGGGGCCAAGAAGATTATAATCTTACCTCGATCTGTTCCGTACTTCTGCTATTTTCAAGATTCCTAACGAATGTAACCAACTTCCCAACTCCGAAATTCATTTCATTCTACACAGATGAGAACGATGATAAAAAAATGTAAATAAGGCAGAATAAAACAAAGTAAGAACAGAAGAGTACAGTAAATTAATATTACCTGTCTACCTTCGATTCTGCTAATTTTAGTTTCCTGTGACAAGGAAAAGGTCCAAGGTTGATTTTCCGGTCTCACCAAGCCAATATAAGATTGATTAACAGAAGAGGGAACATAATGTAGTAGTGAAGGAAAGAGATAGATCAGTCACCAGTGATCGGACGACATGGTGAACAGATTCCACATCTGAACCAATAAGTTTCACATCACCTCGTAGTTCCAATACCTATACAAGTTGATAAATCAGTAACTTGATAAGATTCGAAGAAAAAATAGGGAGCCAACTTCAATCACTAATTTCGCCTGACTTCCTCTTTTGTGGCAGCTGCATTATCAGCACACTCATCGATTTTACAATCTACACGGTCAATCCTTGAGGACAAATGTTTTCTCGTGGCCTGGTAAAGTTTACAGAATAATTAGTTGAGATGAAAATAGATGTCGTGGGCATTAGATATCTGCATATAAAATGCACTTGTGCATGAATCCTATCATTGAAGTTTTTTGTGTAAGGGCATAAACAACAAAAATGATCGACAGCTATGGCATTTTAACCATACATTGCATGCCATTGCAGCAGTTTGTCACCCATGGAAATGCATATTATGGTGCAAAAGCTTGCATGCATATGCGTATCAATTACATAGTAGCTGAGAGACTAGAAAAATCATTAAATGTTAAAGCGAATACAGTTCAGCAGAAAAAATAAAAGAAACACAAACCAGCATATTGTATTAGAATAAATACAGAACACCTAAGCAAAGTAATAACTGCCTTAAATATTAGTGGAAGCTGTTGAAAGGGAAAAGGGAAAAGGGAAAAAGCATATATATAAAAAAAAAAAAAAAATCCCTGTCATGGCCGCAATAATAAATTAATATTGCAGTTGAAAAAGCAAAAACTTGCCGAAACTGAGGAGTAAACATTCTCAAGCTGTTTAGACACAGATGAACAAGCATCGTTTAAACCACGCCTTGTTGCAAACATCATATCAGAAAGTCTCCAACCCTGCAAGTTGATAATTTAATATATTATATCAATATGCCTACAGAATACATATATCAGCAGAAATCCCCTCTAAATGCATGATATGATTTATGATGCAAAGGCAAAGAAAAGGAAAAATAAGTTTAATATTACTGCTCATATTGAAACATGAATATCCAAATTGACATATAAAAGAGCAAAATGAATCTGCTCATAGGGATGTTTTTCATACCACTCTGAAAATCTAGTACTGAAAAATCAAGCACTTCTTATTTTCTTGCTTTACAGTAGGTTCCTATCTTAGTTGAATATCAAGATGCATTGATTATAAAAAGGTTATAATTCAGCCACCTCCTAGGGAGGGTAGATTCTTCTACTCCAATTCAAAAATATTCCGAAACAGACACAACACTTAAAAGTAGTGTCTGTTTTGTAATGGCGTCAACAAACAGTTAACATGGCGAATCAAAAGTTCGTTTGCAGAAAACAAAGATGAGAGAGGTGGGATCTTAGCAATTCCTGAAAGAAAAATGGTCAATATAAAAAAAAATATATATATTTGTGCATTTCCATTTTCCATTTACTAGTTTCTACTGTTGGAAAATGTATTTTGTGAAGTCACCGAGTCCAATACCAAAACTGAAAATATCTTCGGTGGTTATGAGTTTGCATGACTCTAGGTGAATGATAGTTATAGTTTTGAAGTATGTTTTCATATGTGTGAGTAAAGTGCAAACGGTGTTTTGTCGTGTTTCCAAAATGCTATATCCATAAATGGTAAAAGCTGAAACTAAATTTGTTTTCAATGAAATCTTCAGTAAGAAAACAGAAATCTAATTCAGTAATTTCAGGAACAGTAGGAAAGTGAAAATGAATTTTGGAAATGGCATTACCTTCCACCAAATGTAACCATATCCAACAACTACAACAATAACAAGCACACCATATTTGCCAGATGCTGTAAGAAGTAGAAGATCCAGTCAGTTAATAGAATAACATAAAACATTTATGAATTATTTAAAATAAGAATAAAAGATCAAGCTGATACATCTACAGACATCCAAACTCATAGGCAGCTAGAAGGAGAGAATCAGGCGATGTACTTCAAACAAGACGATTGATTCCACTGAGTTTGGAAAAAAGATTGACAGTAACAGGATAGCAGACATTCGTATCAATACAGATAACAAGGAAACAATGAACTAAATGAAAAGCTGCCCATTTCTAACGAAACCAAGAAATTTATACAAGACCTAAGCCAGTCTTCCAACAGCAGAAAAATTAAAGATACAACACTAACAAATTATGGATAAAAGGCATAAAGAAACAGCACATGCACTATTAAGCACCAAAATATGAGTCTGTTGCATGATGCCAACTAAAGGATAAAGAGTATGAGAAGATGAAAAGGTGATGTAAAATACCACCATCAAAAACAAAATATAGATATTAAAAAGATCTTAAAAACTAGCAGCTGTACAAGATTTTACTTATAGGAACTACAGTGCATGAATTTGAAGTACATGCAAACTGTTTCAACTATAAAACTCATTGCAACATTTCCATCAGGAAAAGCTGAAACACATCAAAAGCTCTCGTTGTTAACTGAAAATTGCTACCTGATCGGTCACCGGTGACAATTGTCATAGATCTATTTGATGCCAAAAGTTGCAACTCCTGACGAATACTGTTAACCTGCAAGAGCTCAAATGGAACAATACTCAATAAATTCCTTCAGGAACATCACTCAGCAAATGTCTCTATGTAAAAACCAAACATGGATAGTTGGATGTCAAAGATGTAGGACTTCAACCAAATTTGGATAGTTGGACGTCAAAGATGTAGGACTTTCAACAAATGTCACAAAGTACACAAAAAGAGAGATCATACTAGCAGACAAGGAACCCTAATAAAACAACAACGAACCTGTTGCACCAGAAGATCATTTCTTGGCTTGGAACTCGAAGCACCTGAATCATCTTTTTTAAGTTGCTTGAAAACAATCTGGAAGTAAGCAAAAGGTGATGAAAGGTTTACAGTCATCAGAAAATTTGGAAAAGTTATCGCAGGCGGATATCTGAATTTACCTTGAAAGCACCAGAGAAAAAATCAGAAACGTTAGATATCCTGCCTTCTTTCGCAAGAACTGATCCTACAAGGCCTGCATATGGAACTTCATTGGTAAAGCATCCTCTTGAAGACTTCGTATAATAATATTATCATTTTACAATTTACACAACTACAACTGCATAATAATACAAGTCAGGTGTACAAATTGTGCAGCAACTCATTTTAAAGACAATACGGACTTATGATGGGTAAAAGCTTCTTTTTGCTTTTATGTCTTAACAAAAACCTACATCAGACCACCTAATGTAATACAACGATTAGGCCAATGGTCGGAGTGGGGTATTGGATTTGGGGATATGAATGTAGATAATGAGCTAAATTCGTCAACCTAAAATTCAACTTACAACCAGTAACATGAATCCAACAGTAACCAAATAAACAACATAAAGTAACTATCAGTAACAAGTTACCGAAAAAAAAAAAGCAATATATACATGGGCAACAGACAACAAGAAGAAAGCAGTAGCTGCCCTGTTTCTTGAATAGTTGAAATGAAATCGTGAAGTAGTGATCTAAGGGGACGTCTAGCGTCTACCATACCCTTATAAACAAACATGCGAACTAAAACTAAAGGTTGTGTTTGGATAACCGAAATTTTACTTTTCGCTCCTTTTCAGAAAGAAAAACTTCCAAAGTGTGATTGGCTATACGTCATTTCTAAAAAGTCGCACTTATTCAAAATTCTCTCTCCTCAATACATCCACACACTGAAAGAAAAGAGAAAAATATTACAACACAATATCCTGCAAAATATTTTCACACTTATTTCTCAGACAAGGAAAGCCTATCCGATCACATATAAAACCTTTTTTCTTAGTATAATAGAATTAGTTTTACAATTAAAGAAAAAATGGCATGTCAACTTTACTAACAGAATTGTTCAATTTGGGGGTAAAATTGTTTCCCCATTCGACAACGTAAATTTGTCGATGCAATAGGTATAATTACAAAATTATGTATAGTGTGACTTCCTAGCGAAAGCTATATGTATTATGTTTATCCTTTGCTCTCCTTTGCTTTTGTCCTTCACCAAGTTGTTTTCAGCAATATATAAACCACTGGTACCATTAGCTCACTACAATAAGACCCCACAACTCCAGCACCTCTAATAAGAAAAGTAAATTCAGTAGAAGCAGAAAGCTCAATCAAAATAAACTTGATATCAACAGCCCAGCCAAAGTATGCTTACACCATACAACTCATTGTAAAAGAAAGCACTAGCAACAAAGAGGTAATGTTTCAAAGGTAAAATCAGTAAAAAGAAAAGTGAACAAAAAAAGTATGACTAGCACACATGGCCAAGAAATCACTAACCTGCACCAAGTATGATGGTCAGCTTGCCGAGGGGAAGCGCCATGGGCACTGGTAAACCATAAAAGTTAACTCTTAAACAGAATTAACAAAAAAAACCGGACATTTACTTATTCTCCACAGGAAAAAAAAATGCCCTGATTACATTCAAATTCTCAAAGGATATTAACAACGACAGAGAAAAAGGCGAAACCCTATTTTGGTATTGGAAAACGAAAGAAGACAAAACGGGGCGATTAGCTAAGCGATAATTTGCCTACAGAACTGAGAGTGACGAATGTACAAATTTGCCCATGTTTGCTTATTGGCCAAGACAGATAAAGGTGGAATTGGATTTGGATGCAATGTTTTAAGCAAGGTACACTTCTCACTCAAGCAGCTACTGGTTAATGAATCGTCAAATTANAATAATTTATTAAATTTTTAAATATAATTATATAATAAACTATATATATATAATAATTTTATTTTTAAAATATTTAAATACTCAAACTAATTTTTAAGTATATATTTTTATTAATATTAAAAATATTTTAAATATATAAAATTTTATTTTATTTTTTAAAAATTGGACCTTTCTAACCAGTCGGTTCTAATCACTTTTAATCAATTCAACCGGTCCTTGGTCGTTTTTTATTAGTTCGCTGGCAACAGATTCATTCCTGCAAACCGAACAGGTTAACATACCATTTTCGGTCCAATCTGTCAGGTTTTGAAATCAATTGTTTTAAGACCAAGTTTGGCCGATTATGGCCTTCGCAGTACCATTCTCTCTCGTGGACAAATTGTTATTCTCTACATCAGTCACTCTATTTATTTAAATGCAGTATGTCATTTGGCTGCATCTAATTTGGTATCTTCATGGTATACATGATATGGATATTTTGTTACGACTATCTTTTCATGTCATTGCATTGGAAATGTTGACGATCATTTCTCTACTTACTGTCCAAAGCTGATATGCTGGAGCTCTAAGAAATAACATGAAACAAACAATTCAATAAAATAAAAAACATATACACATATACGATCTTACATTTCAATAAAATAAAGTAAAATAAAATACATATATATATATATATATCTTACATTTTAACAACATCACACACATCAAATTCTTGAGGAATATCACTTTTTTTTTTTCCATATATATACTTCAGATTCTTAAATTTATTTTTTTGCATGTCCTCATTGTGATCATTTTTGCATTCACCAATTGTCCACCTCTTTCCGAGCTTTCTTCTCGATTAGCCGTATTTACAGTTTTCTTCATGACATTTTTGGAACGAACTCACGAAGTTAAAGAGCTTTGTGGTAACTGGATACATACATGAAGTAATTACAATGGCTTAGAAATCCACAACTTTTGTTATTTTCAAATGTCGAGGGCCCGTGGATAAACAAATTTTACATTTTTACCTTGCTCGAATGGGCACCTAGCAGGATCTTCGCCAAAATATCGCGGAAGTTCATCTGCTTTTCTTATCTGCCGAACAATTTTGATAGATGAACCGAAGAATATTACCCGTCGTGAAAAAAAATACAAGACTTACTGTATAGCATTTAGTAAAAAAAAAAACATTATTTACCGCCGTGGAATATAAATCCGTTAAAGCTGACATGTCGGCCTGAGCTGCATCAATGAATTCCTTCGTCGTCTGCAGACCAAAAATGTTTTTCTTTTTAAAGTATGACATTTTATTACAGAAATATGTATGGTTGTCCGAGAACAACCTCAATTAAAAGCGTTTGAAAAAAGTACAATAATATAAATCCTATAATAATTGCAAATAAAAGATATAAGGTTACGTGTGTTTTGAGGTATTTGAAATTCCCTGATTTCAAAATTTTTAAAATATAAATTTTTTACTTGTACTGGATATATTGAAAATATTATAAATCAATTGTCTAGTTGGCTCCGATGGTGTTGACTCGCGGATGGCGTAGTCGTCAACGGTAATAAATAGTGTATTTTAAATGACTAAGTTTAGGGAGTCATTTAAAATTCTTCAAAATAATAACTAAAAAATATCTAACATTAATCTGAATCTCCAACTTTTATTACCATCCCAACTTGCACGGAGATTTGAACTTGTAAATTTAAAATTTATAGATTTCAAATCCCTCAATAAATCCTTCAATCCAAACGTAGCCATATCACTTTCAAATGAAGCTACCTTGTGAAAAGTTGCAAGGCTTTGATTCTCTAAATTAGCATTAAATTCATGCTTCACATTTTCTACACTCTTGTTAATGGCTTCCATTTCCTCTGCTAAAGTCTTCAAATGTACCTATATACAAGTCGAAATAATTTCTCGTCAAGTCTGTTTTTATAGTAATTAATATTTTGAAGCTTAGCATCAAGTCGTGGAATTTGAATCAATTAAGAACCTTTGTGGAAGCTTCCAAGTTGATCAAATCCTTGTGAAAATCCATAAGTTCTGGTGACCTTTCGGCAAGGATCTGAAAGCAAATAGAAAACTCTCAACACCTAATTAAGATGAAAATGATCGAACTTTTCGATTTCTACTAAACGTGTGTATGTTACTTACGGGTTACATTACAACATCCGTACATTACAACATTACGGGTTGATAGATACCTTACAAATATATTGCATAGGTGTCATCCTCCTATTGGCCGCGTTTGTATTTGTCAGTTTCGAAAGGCAATCAAGTTTAAACCCAAGAGGAGAAGCTGAATGAGGAAAGAAGTTATGAAGGTTATATAGTCCATTATCCTTAGCAAACTAAACATATAAATTTCGAACATATTTGATTCAGAAATTGAATCAAATATATATTACAACTTTAAACCCAAAAGGAGAAATTGAATGAGGATAGAAGTGATGAAGGTTATATATATAGTCCATTATCCTTAGCAAACTAAACATACACATTTCGAACATATATATATTTGATTCAAAAGTGTCGATCGAGAAGTGATTCGTGAATTTGGAGATCTTTAGAATCAAAATTCTATGATGAAAAAAAAAAAAATGTTCCATACCTATGGGACTTCTCGGACTCGATGTATTTCCTAGGAACAAAATTGTCTTCATAATTTCCCTCAGTTTTTTGGAGTTCCTAATCTAATTAAAAGAAAGTAAGACGTGAAGCTATATTCAAGAAATCAAGAAAAACAAGAACCGAAAATCTATCACGATCCTTAAAACGTACCTCCTCACTAGCAGAGTTGATAATATTCAACGTCTTTCTTAAATTCGTGACCTGATACGAAAATGCAAATTTTATCGACTCAGAATATCATCATATATATCATTAATTCAAAATTAAGATCACAAATGTCGAGCAATAAACCCGAGTGTTGAATCGAATCTTGAATACGAAAACTCTTAAGTTAGATTCGACTCGTGGTCCCTTCATCAGCTCCATGAATAAACTGAGATAAAAACAATAAACGGAAATCACATCTAACAAACCAAATTTAGATCTTCATCTTCAAAATAAAAAATGTTCGTAGGGGAGTTTGTTCAAAAATAGACTAAGTTTAAGAAATTGTAGAATTGGTTGCATAGGACTTGGCTACTTGCAACTTTGATCCTAATGTTGCGCAATGGTTGAAAATAAACTAAAACTAAATGAAAACTTTATGCATAAAATAGTTTTGGAAAAATAAAATATACCATTTTATTTTTTTGTTAATTAAAATAATTGAAATTGTTGTATTATTCTTGTCTGTGCAATAATTTCATATTTTCAATATCATATAATATGATCTATTTGACACATTATTTATGTAAATTTGACAAACAATAAAAATTTATTAAGTGTTAAAATTTAATTAAATTTAAGTGACCAAATATTTTATAACTTAAAAAGTCTAAGATAAAAGTTCAAATTTTGATTGATTATTCCTAAAAACTAGAAATGAAGCATATAAATATAAAGTACCTGAGATTACAAAGCACACAAATACACTTCCATTTGTAAAAAAAAATGGTAAGCTATTTGATGCCAGAAGTTCGTAAGCTAAATAAATAAATTATAAGCTATTTTATGATAATTGCCAAACTTAATCTAATGTCTCCTATCATCCTATAAANTGGAATTATAACCTTCGATTCACACGTAGACTTCTTTCTCATTCATTCAACCCACAGCCCAACATGAGCTGCCCAAGTTTATTTGGGCTCACCAAATATTTGAGCCCAAATATGGCCCAACGACAATTGTACAACCTCGCCTGGTCTACGGGAGGTTCAGCCCAACTCTTTAAAAAAAACCAGCACTTTACAGCAATCCTGTGGAAAGTTAGCAAGTTTGAAAGTAGTTCTTTACCAAGCGCTTGGGCCTTAAGAGGCCAGTCAAGAGAGGGAAGTCCAGCCCCAGTGTAAGAGTCTTTCCTAGTGGCATTCCTTCTATTGGTTGGGATTGTTCCTATGTACTGAAACTAGTACGTAGCCCGTGCTATACACGGAACATAAGTATTAAATGAGTCATTTCCATATAGTTTTTCCGTTAAGTAGCTCGTGCGATTCACGGGAGATATTAAATGAGTGGACCATAGAGCTTGTCCGTTCAGGCCTAAAAAATAATAGAGTTCTTTTTACATCTTTTCATCAGCGTCATTTTTTTTTTGTCGGAACATTAAACCTGAGTCTGGTAGCGCAAGTCCGTAAATTAATTAATATATTATCTCGCTCACATGTTTATAATAATATAAATTTGATTTCATTATATATATATTTATTCCTTGATATAAGAAAAATAACAATTTTACGTAATCTAGTTTCTCGTATAGTACTCATATTATTTTATTATAAAATTTATTGTAATATAATTTCATTATTATTATTTATACAAGTTATAAATGCAGTCTTCTTCTTTTTTTGTTTTATATAATTAAAATATTTAATGTATGTTCATATTATTTATTAATGTAATTAATTTAAATTATGTAAATAAATTTAAAGTAAAACATTTTGTACAACCATTTTACAAAATATACACAAATATTTTTTAAAATTTAATTTTTTTATAATAAATAAACATCTTTGAAATTCTATACAATTATTAAATATCTTTGATATAAATTCGAAATCATAATTGAATTCTATGCAATTATTAATTCTGTCCGATGTTATGAGAAACAAATCATTCGGAAATGATTATATGTAAGTTGAGATAAAATGAAATGTATCAAAAAAATCTGCTTATGATATTTTCCTTTAAATGTTTGAATGAATTTGAAATTCAAATTATAAATCAACCTCCAGTTATTCAAATAATTTTAAAAAAATTACCAATTGTAGTAAAATGTACGTGACAATATATTATAAATATACATGACGTCAGTAATGTTATGACTCTTTAAGTTCTTAGATATGAAACTAATTAACTAATATGTTAAGAATATATATATAAATATATGTATTGTACAAAATATACACGTGACAAATTATTATATTTGTTTATATATTGTTTAAATATATATTGTTTAAATATTAAACTAATTAACCTATATGTTAAGATAATATATATAAATATATGTATCGTATGAAATCTTTAACGTGTTTGTTAAATTTTCCCCCTAAAAAATTCAAAATACATTTAAGCACGTTTTGTTTGAAATTTGAAATGTAAATATGCATCTATATAACAAATCCCATGATTTATGCTAGCATTAAATATTACTTAATTTTTTATTAAAAAAATTAAAAAAATATATCAAAAATAGAATGCAATTAATATTCCCTATTTTTTTGCTTACTATTTTTTAAAAATGTTAATTCTTATTTTATATATATATATATATATATATATATATATATATGCCAAAGCTATAGTACTGGCAAGATCTTCTCAAGTGATCCCAAGCATTGAGTTGAGAGAGGCCTAACAGTTATTTCATATTTTAGGGGTATACCCGTAATTCCAGCCATTGGGATACCTACAGTTGGAGCCTCTCTCCTTTCTGTCCCTTAGGCCATGGGGACAAGCTACCCACACCGCTCTGATTCAAAAGGTATCTTCCAAAAATACTAGAAACGATGGGATCTCTACAACTTGTTCCACAAACTCCAATCAGTCAACTACCATCCACGAGTGTAAACCAAGCCCTCGGTGTAAGAGAGAGGCGATGATAGACAGATATGTAAAGGATCTAGTAAATAAGGTCCGTTTTTTCTACCCGTATCTGCTCCTCGTTGCCTTTATTACTCCCATCTTTATGGTTCTTGGACAAATGGAAATAACTTTTACCTTTCGAAGGCATTCATAGCCGCGGGAAGAACTGTATTCTGCGCCTCGCCCCTCTGTTCATCTTTAAGCAGCAGCGCGCGCGCACAAACCCGGTCTCACCGGCACATCTGAAGGGTAAAATTTTTGCTTTACTACTAGCATAAAGCCTAATCGTCTAACCCTAATCTCCAATACCTATATTCGTATAACCGAAGTTCATATAGTGTTAAGTGAGACTAATTTAATTGTTGTTGAGCTTGAGATGAATGTTCTGGTGTTGAGGTGTAAAAGGAACTATGATTTCGTAAGCCGTAACCTTCTGTTCTCGAATGATTGATTGTTTTGTCGAAACTGGTTAAAAGTTAAGAGTTTTCACATTTAGAATTTCAAGGGGTGCAGTATTTGGTTAATTAATTATTTCATTGTTTTTGGGCCAATATTTTGATCATTCCCTCAAGCCTAGCTTGGACATTTAGTGCTTGCGTCTTCATGAAACTAGTATCTTGGTGTAGAGAGAACCATCCAAAGAACTATTTTCCAGTAAAAGATATGGTTAAAATATGGAAATTGTTACTAATTGTAGTGATCTTCATAGGATTTGTGGTTCTGTATCTTTTCTTTTCATACCTGAACTGGCCCAGTTTCTATTTCCCAGTTTCTATTTTATGAGTAAGTTTCGTTGAAAATTCAAATGCTGCACAAAAACTGTTGTTTGATGTTCTTTTGTTTCTGCTCTTCTGTATATCCGCTTTTGATTCGAAACTATGATCCCGAAATGTATTTATTTGTTCTGGCCGTCTTCCTCTTAGTCTCTAACAGCTGTATGGCTTAGATTTCCAGGCAAAAGCAAATCGATTTTGTGAATTTCCTTTGTGAACAAGTAGTTTGAGTTGCCACATAAGTAATGTTGTCTTTTATGTGGTGACACTATTATAGTTACAATATTGCATTATGTGCCCCATGAGATTTTATTCTGTAGGAAGCAGCTTGAGAAAGGTTGTCTGTCGACTCCAAAAGTTGTATCTAATGCCACCAAATGTGGGGTTATATCTTATATTGTTCTTTATTTATTTCTCTCCCCCCCCTTTTTTTTTTTTNTCGAGAGTATTATGTCTTATCCATGTTATATTAACAGTTGTTGGCAGAAGTTTTCTACTATTCGTGTATTGTTAATAAGTCACATTCCTGTGCTTTGTTCAGGGTACAACTGGTCTAAACCTTCGTAGTGTCTAGTGTATCAAAACCTCTAATTGCTCTTGTACTATCCAAATAAGTATGAAAGGCACAGAATCACATCCCATTCCTCTGCCAGATAATTTGCTAGAGCCTCTGTATGTTGCTTCTGGGACTCCAAATTTGAGTAGAGCTTGCGAGTGCCTGATTGAAACTGCCAAAACACCCGTCGGGCGGCTAGATCTCGCCTCCAGAGGAATTCTTTTATCAATTCTCGAATTATGTCGATATCCACAGCAACTATCTCGTCATGACCTTATCTTATCCTTGAAGCTCCTCAGAAACTTGTGTGCTGGAGAAATTATAAACCAAAACTCGTTTATCGATAAAAATGGTGCCGAGATTCTTTCGACTCTCGTTAGCTCAATAGGCTTGATTTCTGGTTCTGACGATGGGTTACTTCCTATGGTATTACAAGTTTTGGGAAATGTTACATTAGCTGGCGAACATCAACGTCTTGCTGTATGGCGCCACTTCTTCCCCCATAAATTTTTGGATATTGCTAAAGTTCAACGCAAGGAAACATGCGATCCGTTGTGCATGGTTATCTACGTATGTACTGAAGGTAGCAACAAACGGTCTTTGGAACTGTTTGCAGATGCAGGACAGAATATCATTGTTGAAATATTGCAGACGGTTACAAAAGGTAGAGACGCCTTGTTATTTTCAAAATCCTAAACATACTGCTTGTTTCTGCTGAATAGAAAATTTTATTCTTTTTTTTTTCAAATATTTCCCTATTTTTTGTAGCCGGCTTCAGGCAAGATTGGGTGAAGTTGCTCTTGTCAAGGATTTGCATTGAAGAACCTTGTTTTCCGTCAATTTTCTCAAAACTATCCCAAGCGGCTGAAGCTGTGAACGCCAGTGAGAATGCATCTGAAGTTAATATATTTGGACCTGAGAAAGAATTCCTGCTGCGTATCCTCTCAGAGATACTAAACGAGCGAGTTGGAGATATTGTTATTTCCGGTGATTTTTCTTTGTGCATTTTCGAGATTTTTAAAAGCGCTCTTGGAGTAGTTGACTTTAGCAAAAGGGGAAACTCGTCCATTCCGACGGGCTCCACAGACATTGATGTAATGGGCTTCACTATATCCATCTTAAGAGATATTACTGCTTGTAATAAAAAAATTACCAAGGAGGATGAAAAAGAAGATATTGTAGATAAGCTAGTGGCAGCCGGGATTGTTAAATTTCTCTTAGACGTGCTACGTGGCTTGGAGCCTCCTACAACTATCCAGAAAGCAATGAAAAACAGTGATGATGCAAGAAATGAAACAACTTCACGGGATTACAAGTACTACTGTCCTTACAGAGGTTTCAGGAGAGATATTGTTGCAGTTATTGGAAACTGTAGCTACCGAAAAAAGCATGTTCAGGATGAAATAAGAGTACAAGGTGGGATTCTTTTGTTGTTACAACAGTGTGTGACTGATGAAGAGAACCCATTCTTGAGGGAGTGGGGCATTTTTTCCGTGAGAAATATTTTGGAAGGGAATATAGAAAACCAAAGACTGGTTGCAGATTTGGAGCTCCAACAATCCGTGGATACCCCTGAAATAGCTGGGCTGGGCCTCCAAGTAGAAGTTGATCCAACAACTCGCCGTCCAAAGCTCGTTAACACATCCTGAAGATATATGGGACGAACTTTTTGACTTTGCTTTCAGTTGGTACAGAAAAGAATTAGTTCAATCAGGTCAGTCACGGGCTAATTAATAAATAAGTTCATGCATTTGATGCTCTCCTTAGTGAGTAACCCACTTTTTATATATATGGAGCTTTCGAGATGTGCATTTTTGTTTTGGAGGGTCACTTTTTGGGAATTTCTGGTGGTTCATGAACTTTTTGGATGAGGATTTGGTTTTCTAGTTGTGTTGAAAATATGGAAGACTTAAAGTGACGTATTTGTTTAATGTATATTTTGTTTTATTCGTTTATTAGGCGTTTAATGCATGATCGATGGTGGTTGGTTTTCGACACCTTGTGTACCTGTTTTTTGTTTCCCATGCCTCTGTGGAATCTTTGTTTGGTGGGATTGTTAGGTTTCCATTATTGAAAGTGATTGTGCTTTTGGCTCTTAATGACTTTGAGTAGTTGGTTATACTTATAAGTCATTATAGGTAAGATAGATTTATCATTAGATGGGGTAAAATTTGGATAAATTTGTGGCTTCTGTATACTATGTTGTCTACTTCTTCTGATTTTGGTCATATTCAGCTCACACAAAATACACGGCTTTGTCGTTAAATTTGGTTTCCTAATTCAGGTGGTCATTTACATGAACAAAACATCTTATGAAAATATTTGTAGTTTTGCTATGGAACCAATAGGATGACACGACTTATGGAGCCATACACACTTATTCACAAATAGTGTATTGACACGTGTTCTATAATAAATACATTTTGGACAGGCGTTAATACATTAAGTGATGGATGACTCCATAAGAAAACCATCCAATGACTCCATATAATTTTTGAAATATTTGCAAATTGAGTGATATGCCCCGTGCAGTAAAATTGGACTCAGGCTGAGTAGACTCATCGAATTTTATTTGAGAACAAGTAGTGGTGAGCAATGGTGCGGTCACCAAACCGCATCGAATCGCAGAAATCCAAAACCCAAAACTAGCAACTTAGAAAAAAGAAACGAACTGAATTTTTTTCAACACAAATAATCGAACCGAACCCTATTGAAATGCATTGTTCGGCTCGGTTGTTGGTTTTATCTCAGTTTTTCTATGTATTTTATTAACTTTTGTGAGGTTCAGTGCAAAATCGAATCGACCCAAAACCGAATGCCGAATTTATGAAAACTATAATCGTGTCGCGCCCCTCAATGTAAGAAAAATATGAATCAAAACTAAATCTACTTTTTTTTTTTACATACAAAAAAATTGAACCAAACCACGTCGAATTGCACGGTTTGGCTCAATTTGCTCACACCTAATAACATGGATAGTCCTGCAAGAAAGTCAAAGGTGCCAAATGTTTATTCACATTCTAAATAATTAAGAAGTCACACACATTACATGTGGAACAATAAGTGACTACTGCGAGATCATGTCTAACAATTCTAGGGCCTTTTAGAACAGGAAAACAAGAAAACTCATAAAATTCTTTCCAGCAAAAGTGCCCTTTATATGAAAGCAAATTTTACATGAAAGCAAAACCAGCTATGCATTGTAACATGAATATGAAAGCTGAAGAGACAGAAACACAGAGCCTATACAAATTGTGTCTGCAAAATTAAACTACTTATAGCTAACTATACCAAACCTTCCAATTCCTTAACTTTGAGGCATAACAAGTATAAAAAAAAGTATNAAACTAAAAAAAAAAGCTGAAAATCAAAGAGGTAGGATATATTTGCCTTCGTCATTCACCCTCAAAACTTGTCCTCACTATAAAATTTACTGCATTTCAAAAACCTTGATCATTCACAAACTCATGAGTAAAAACTTTTAAGGAATAATCTCTTCCCCTTTCTTGCACCATCTCAAGAACTCACACGCGATGATCGTATCAAGCACAACGAAAACCGCATACAAGCACGAAACAAAAACCCCCTCCATCACAAGCAAGCCCGAATTACGACCCGAGACCTCACCATAATAAGCACGCATGACTCGGTACTCGAAAAGTGCCTCGATGGCCGCAAAACACACGTTCGCAACCACAGCCAACCATAACCCGATCCCAGTTCTACCCCGGACCGCAACACATGCCTTGGCAATCGATACGAATCCACACTCCCCCTCCACTCCCGACAAAACCAACGCTAAATTGCACAAAACGTACGAATTCGCAACGACAATCGAGTAGACTACTAAACCTCCCACGACCCCCGCCAAAGAAGGAAGGCTTAAAAAATCAAGAAACTTGAAAAACACGGTGAGAAAGAAATAGCAAGCAGCGTTAGCCGAGAGAATGACCAACGAGCTACAAAATTGTGTGACGAGAATGGGACGTAAGATCGCTTTTTCTTTCCATGCGGTAAAAGTAAATTCCGTGTTTTTTTTACGAGGGTGGAGTGATTTTACGATCACGGAGGCTTTCGCGAGTAGGAGAAAGGAGAATGCGAAAGGCGAGACGAGGAGGGAAGTGAGGAGTGTTTGGGAGAGCTTAACGGTTAGAATGGAAAAGAGTCGTGAAGAAGGCGGGAAACCGGCCGAGAGAAAGAGAGAGATTAATCGGTCATGAATTGGCGGGAAAAGTCGAGACGAAGGGATGAGGGATTGGGCGATGAGGTACGCGGAGGCGTAAGGAAAGGCGAGGAGAGTTGGGGCAAATATGTAGTATCCGTAGTTTCGGAGAAAAGCGAAAATCGACTTCCGGATGATTCCGGTTGTTTTCGACATGATATGAATGAAGATATGAGGATTTTTAGATGGTT